TGGAGGTGAACCCCGCTGGCCTCATCGAGAGCCTGCTGCTGCTGACCCTGTACTGCAACATTTCTCCACGGGCGCTGCGGGGCTGGCGGACGGCAACAACGACTACGATGACCGCACAACCAAGACGACGATCACGACGACCACCATGACTTCGACCATGACGGCGGCGGATCCAGCGACGACGACGACGACAACCATGACGACGACAACGATGACAACAATCACGACGACGACCAAGAACAAGACGACGACGATGACGGCGGCGGCGGCAGCGGCGGAGACGACAAATCATGACAACGACGACGATGACGACGACGAAGAAGACGACGACGACCACCACCATCACAACGACGACCACGACCACAACGGGGACAGCTACGCCTCAGGGCGACGTCTCATGGCCCAACGTTGCAAGGAAACAGACAGCGACACACCACCTAAAACCATGAGTATTCGACCCTCGATGGATCAATCGATCCGGAACCCTCGATCCTCGAGCATCCTCGATCCTCGAACCTCGATCCTCGATCCTCGATCCATCGAGGACCCTCGATCCTTGATCTTCGATCGATCCAGGGTCCTGGAAACTCGACCCTCGATCCCCGAACCTCGATCCTGGATCGATCGATCGAGAACCCTGGATTCCAGATCGATCAACGATCATGGATCCTCGAACCTCGACCCTAGAAGCTCAATTCTCTGTCGATCGATCGACGACCCACGATCATCGATTGGTCAAGGGTCTTGGACCATCGAATCTCGACCCCCGAACCTCGATCCTGGACGGATCGAACCTCGACCCTCGAACCTCGAACACCAATCCTGGATGGATCGATCGAGGGTCCTGGAACCTCCACCCTCGAGCCCCGAACCTCGATCCTGGATCGATCGATCAAGGACCCCGGACTCTGGATCGACCAACGGTCCTGGATCCTCGAACCTCGACCCCAAAATCACGATCCTGCAGCGATCAATCGACGGCCCCGGATCCTCGGTCTTCGATGCAGGTCGAGGGCCGTCGACTCCCGACCCTCGCACCGTCGCACCCCCAAGTCTGGGATCGACCGAAAAAGGACTCTGGGCTCTCAGTCCTCCACGGAGGTCCAAGGTCATGGGGTAATCTGCCCTCGACACCCAGAATCTCGATCCTGGATCGACCCCTCCTCCTCCTCCTCCTCCTCCTCCTCCTCCTCCCCCTCCCCCTCCTCCTCCTCCTCCTCCTCCTCCTCCTCCTCCTCCTCCTCCTCCTCCTCCTCTTCTTCCTCCCACTCCTAGCCCTTTCGATCAGGGTCGGCGGCACCGGCCGTCAGGCCTCTCCAATCTCGATCCTGGATCGACCGGTCGACAACCCTCGATCCCCGATCCCCGATCGAGGTCGAGCGTCCTGGATCCTCGGCCCTCGACCCCTCGAACCTGGACCCTGGATCGACGGAGCGAGGACCCTCGACCCTCGATTCTCGATCGATCGAGGGCTGGGACGGTGGTGAGGGGGAACGATGTTCACGTCGTTCATTTCTAATCGCGCTCATTTCTAGCTGTGCTCGTTTCAAATTGTTCCTGGTCCCCTAGTGGCCAGGAAGAGGCCCAGGATAGGACCTTGGCCCCCCGAAAAATCAAGGAACTTCCGAAGAACTGGAAATGAAAAACGTGTAGGGGGTCTGGCACAGGGGGGGTAACACATCGAGCCGAAAGCAGCGATTGAAGGTCGATGCGCTCCCCCCCGAGCCGATCCCCCCTACGGTCGGCAACTTCTGCTCAGCGTGTAGCGGCGGCGGCCCTGGCGACACGCTCAGCCTTGCAGGTGGGTCGCGTGCCGCTCCGCTCCGCGGGGCGGGAGGCGGGGAAAGGCTCGGGACGTTGACGCCTGGGGACCAGGACGTGGATGGCGTGGATGACCAGGACAAGCGTTGCGACACGCTGGGCCAATCCAGTGGTCCGACGTCTTGGCGTTTTCATTACGGGGTCCCCTCCCCCGAAGTCCCGACCCCCTTCCCTTAAGGCCGATGTTGCGTCCTGGGCGCGTTTTGACCGACCCGGGCCCGTCGAGGGTTCCAGAAGGCCTAAAACGGCGACGAACCTCCGTCTTGATTGTTTCTATACGTTGGATGTCTGGGAGGCGGAGGAGAAGGCGGGGGAGGCGGGGGGGGGAGCAAGAGGGGGAGGAGGAGGAGGAGGAGGAGGAGGAGGAGGCGGAGGCGGAAAAGGATAAGGAAGACGATGATGATGATGCTGATGATATGATGATGATGATGATGCTGCTGATGATGATGATGATGATGATGATGATGATGATGATGATGATGATGATGACGATGATGATGATGATGATGATGAGGAGGAGGAGGAGGAGGAGGAGGAGGAAGAGGAAGCGGGGGTTGCCCCTGAGATCCTCGGCCCCCCATCGGTCGCCGGCGGGGCCAGCAGCGACGACGACGTCGGCACGGGGGGCGGCGGGCGGCGAGCGGCCCCTCGGATTCTGGAGGCGGTTGATGCGCAGGTCAAACTGCCAGAGCCTCCGGGCCGCGCTGGGCTGCAGAAGGAAGAAGAAAAACGAGGAGGAGGAGGAGGAGGAGGAGAAGGAGAAAGAGGACGAGGGGGGGAGAAGGAGGAGAGGAGGATGAGCAGGAGGAGAAGGAGGACGAAAGCCGACGCTGCGGGCGTGGGCGCGCGCCCACCAGCCCGCGCAAGAAGAAGAAAAAGGGAAAGAAGAGAGGAAAAACAAGAAGAGGGAACAAGCACAACGAAGAGAGGGAGCAGGAGGACGGGAGGAAGAACGGATGATGAGGAGGAAAAGAGGAAGAGGAGGAAAGGAGGAGGAGGAGGAGGAGGAAAAGAGGAGGAGGAGGAGGAAGAAGAGGAGGAGGAGGAGGAGTGGTGGGACAACGCCATGGGCGAGATGCCGCGGTCTGGTTACTGGCCCCCTACTCGACGGTCTTTACCCAGGGAGGCTTAAGAGAAACATCTGAAGGAGAGGGCTGGAAGGCATGGGCGAAGGAAACCTTGCCCCTCCACGGAGCCTTCCGCCTCGCGTCCTCGTTTCGGGCCACCTGTTGACGAAGCTCTCGGCGTCGTCTCGCCTCCCCCCTTTGGGTGGCGACGCGATCGAGCTGCGCGCGGGCGAGGGAGGGGCGGGGAGGGGGGGGCGGCGCAGGAGAGGGGGGCAAAGGAAAGCTTCGGCCTCGCGTTCTCCTCCCAGGTCCAGTGAATCGAGGGGAGTAGGGCCCTGATCAGCTGGAGTCGGGTCACCAGCGGGGTTCGGACTTCATGGTCTGCTGCGAATCTCCGTCGTCGTAGCTGCTGGCCTGAGGACTGGACGGAGGCCCCCCTGTGAGCCAGCTCGGGCCCGATGGAGCCCAGTTCATCCAGCTCCGTTCCCTGGTGCGACTAGTGGCGAGCAGCAAGAAGGGTTAAGCTGCCTAGCAGAGGTGAGTCGATGTGAAATGCCTCCTGCATGTCGCGCCGCAGCTGCTCTTTGGCCCAGCGAGCTCCTTGCCCGCGACATTGAAAGAGCGCCTGTGTTTTGCCTGTAGGCCCCCGCGCACAGAGCTGGCGGCAACAACTTCAGCGATGCGCGGTGCCACTTGGATCAGATGCGGCGCTGGCCCTAGCAGCGCAAAGGCTCCATCGTCAAAGGAGCACATGTGCAGGCCCACTTGCATGCGCGCAGGTTCTTCCCGGAGTATCTCTGAGAGGCTGGAGCGGCGGCGGATAAGGCCCCTGATGTCCAAGCCCAGTTCACGCAGGCCCGCCTGGGCCTCTTGAGCGCGCGTTGACATGACGCAGTTGAACACGACGCCCCCCAACTGTCGCCCTGGAACCGCCGCCCCAGACAGAGCAAGCGCGACCCGGTGACCCCAAGGCACCAGAGCCAGGAGCTGCGGCAACTGTCGGCCACCAGCGTGCTGAGATGCCAGCGCTCGTTCAAACAGCGCCAGGCGGTTGGCGACGTGCTGCTCGAGGTCTTCAACTGCCGCCTCCGGCAGCCCAGCCGCCCTTGAAATGAAATAGATGTCGCCGTCGCTGGCGTCGGTATTGTCCCCAACCTGTGGGGAAACCATGGCATCGCGATGGTTCTTGTACTTTGCCGGACTTGCCTTTCGTTCCCAGGTGTTCCAATAGTTCCCCCCCCCCCCCCCCCCCTTCCACTGCAACGGTTCCTCCGGCCCCAACGCACATCTCATCGCAACAAGGCAATAATGCGAGGCGGCGCTGGAACCGGATGCGCGCGGGAGTGCGCCTGGCACGCGCCGTCTAGGCTGGCAGCCGACCTCTCGGCCGTCGCAGAAGCCAATTGAAATTCGGGCGAGGGCGGCGCAAGTAGGTCTTCAACTGGAGTATCCCTGCTGAGGCTGTCCGGCAAAGGTGGTGGCGCTGACTGAAGGCTTCTTGCTTCGCGCGTCGGCACAACAACTCCTACTTCTTCATCGGCAAAGTGGCGCCGCCATCTATCCGCTGCCCCCAGGCGCGCGCGGCCACGGCCCCGCCCAAGCTCAACTGTGGGAAGAGCCCTGCTGGATAACCTTTCGAGGCCCACTGCCCATGCAACGCAACTTGGAAAATACCGCGCTATACGGATGTTTTGACCACGCGCACGTCGCATCCTGCACCGGATTTGCATAGCGTGCTGTCGCATCGCCCGTCGTGGGCTGTTGCATGAGCTGCGTAGCGCGGCGTAGCATGAGCTTCCTGCGCGCCAGCCGACAAGCTCGAGCGCCCTGAAGGAAGCCCCAAATACCAAGGAGCGGGGGCCAGAAGGACACCTCGGCGGGGACCTTCAGGAGATTCTTGGGGGGAAGAGTGTATAGGATGGCATCAAGCTCCAAGTGGTCGAGGTGGGCGAGCATCCTGTAGGGTCCCAGCCTTTGCCTTTTGCCTCTCCGGTGTCGGATGTCGGCTTGCTTCCCTAGCAGAGCCGCAGTGGCCTGTGGCTGAATGCTAGCTGTCGGAACTAAGGCGGCCGCACGACGTTGCAGTCGCGGAAGCTCTGGGGAGTTGGCATTCGCCCGCGGCCCGTAGTCAAATCTTGCCAAGTCAGACCCTACAGGCGCCGCTGCCAGCCATTGCCATGCTGCAATGAGAATGCGCAAGCAAGCCCTGCGCACCTGGTCCATGAGGCGTCTCTGGAGGCGCAGAAGGAGTGACCTGTCCTCCTGCAGTGCAAGCGCACGGTACCTGATCCAGCCTTGTCTCGGTCGACGGCCTGCGGGCATGGCACGCGCAGCGAAGCTGTCTCGATGGCCCCCTAATGCGCCGGTCGCACAGCCTCACGGAATCCGCGGCGTGCATGTCGAAGTTGGGCGGTCGGAACTGCGTCAGCAGATGCTGAAGTATTGAGCCGGCGCGGGGTCCGCGTAGAGCTCTGGGCCATGGGGGGCCTTCAAGGGCCTGGGAGCTTCAAGCAGTTAGTTGGAGGTAAAAGAAAACCACCAAAGTCGCAACAACCGCGTGACCGGGCTGCGTCAAAGCGAAGCCGATATTCTTGTCAACGCCTTCTTGGGGGACTTGCAGGGCCCTCGAGAGCACCGCGCAAGCCCTGCGCTTGGCCTGCTCTTTGGCCCCAGGGGCCATCCACGCGCCAGCGTGCCCCGAGGTGTCCCCGTAGAAGGTGGTGGGCCCCCAATTCCTGTGCATGTCTTAAATACTGCATAAAGCATGCACCTGCCAGGCTCGCCGCTTCCGCACGGGTGCATCCTGCGGCGCCATCGACAACTGAGCCAAGCGCAGCGTTCACATCAATCAGGGTAACGAGGTACTGTGCCCCCCCTCTCTGCTCCTTGCACAGGTGGGCAAGGTCCTGCCACCGCTGTCGGATCTCTTGCGGCGGCCTTCTTGAACGCGGACTGCGCGCTACGCGAACACGGAGGCTGAGCAGGGGCGCGGATAGCAGCCAAAAGAACGCGCGGGGCGGCGCGCGTAACGCAGCACTGCGGGGCGGGGATACTGCACCCCGGGGCAGATTCCATGGCTGCGCTGACCCAGAGAGAGCAGCCTTCCCCTCCCAGCGGCAAGGCAGAGGCGGGCAGCAAGCAAGAAGCCCCAACATATGTGACCCCTGTTTTCCGCAGGCGCGCCCCCCCTCCCCGGGCGCGCCAGCAGAGAAGGCCCGGGGGCGACCTGACTCGGGAAGTGCATCACGCGCCCCGCGACGTCGAGGCCAGCTTGTCGGAGCGCTCTGGCGCTGCCCTGGTGGGCCTTGGGGCCCACGGCGAGAACGCCGGCGATAGCCACCCAGCCCCGAGGGGCCTGCTGGTTCGAGTGACGCACATGCTTGGGCGCTGGCAGGATCCGCCGGGGGCCAACAACGCTTTGGTTGGCATCGGGGGGGGCACTTCCCTGGCGAGCGGCAATGCATCTGGCCCATTGCCATGAATCGCAGCACGCTGAGGTGGCTGCTCAACAAGCGCCCTCCAGACTGGCACGTAGAAAATCGGCAGTACTCTCATGGCGCACAGTCGTGTTATGGTGCCCCCACACTCCTTCCAAGGATGAGCAACATGACAATGCGCATGCTGATGCACCACGTTACACACGCGCACTCGCACACATTGGGTAATGCTGTCCAGTAGTAGGTTGACCGATCGCAGGGCCCCCTTGCGCATATCTCCCTTGGCAAATACGTAGTACCTCCGCGTTGCCTGTGGAAGATCGAACATGGGCAAGTAGGCACCCATGGCAACTGCACGGCCCAGGCCGCGGCTCAAATAGCCGCCTCCAGCTAGGCTCTGAGAAGGGAGAGAGCGTCGCTGGAGCCCCATCCCTCGGAAGGCCCCGCGCCCGCTGCCGAGACGTCCAGCGCGGAAAAAAAAAAAAAAAACAAAAAAAAAAAAAAAAAAAAAAAAAAAAAAAAAAAAAAAAAAAAAAAAACTGCTAAACATTTCTCACCCTGATACTCGCCCCCCCCCCCCCCCAGCTGTGGCGTCTGCGAAGATGCGCGGGCAATCGCAGGCGGCCCCCGAGTCGACAGGGGCGAGGCCAGGTCTCGCCCGGGCGGCGGAGGAGCGCCAGCAGGGAGCCCACCACGGAAGGCCCTTTAGAGGGCTGCACGGGCCAGGGGCGCCCCACGAGCTCCTGAGCGGGCCCAAGCTCGGGCAGCGGCGAATTCTTGATTCCTCTGGGGGGGCCACTCAGAAGCATCCCGGGGCCGGCCCATGCGATTCGGTCTCTCACGCGCCCGCCCCATGTTCGCACATGTGTCGGTCCTCTGCTGCGTTTGCTGGAATCGGAGGCAGCAAAGACAAGTGGGGCGAGGAGGGGGGAGCGTGGACCTGAGGCGACACGCGCAGATAATGTGACCCCACCTGTTGGGATGGGGTCACATTGGCGCTGTCTGAGCGGGGGCGATGCGAAAACGCGGCCGGGCCTCAGCTGGCGATGTAGCTGCCGACGCTGCGAATGCCGCTGTGGCCGCCCCCGGGCTGGCTGGATTTTTGGCAACTCCATGCAGCTGCTCTTCGTCTGCGCCGCCTGCTGCGAGGTTAACTGCTTGTTCGTTAGGGCGTTCATGCTGCGAGTCCACCGCCCTGTCCACGCTGATCTTGGTCGTCCTGGGCGGAGCCTGCCCCTTCTGACGCCTCGGCGAAACCGAGCGTGCTAGTCGCGGTGTCACTGCAGCTCCCTGCGCGAAGGCCGATTCCGTGCGGTGGCGGCCTGCTGTTCTGACCTCCGTCGGAGATGGCGGTGGCCTGTACGGCTTCTTCTTGATCTCCAGAACCAGCCGCTGCAACTGGTCATCGCCCTCTTGTCGGGACTGGTTGTTCTCCTCCAGGATCTGCTTCTGAATGTCAGTCATATTGCGCTTGGGGTCCAGGATCTGAGCGAGAAGCTGGGACTGCGCATGCTGCGCGGGCGCGAGCAAGCCTGGCGTGGTGAGTCCTGTTCCCGTACCCGCTGAGCGCGCGGATGGTGTAGCTCCAGGCGGGGCTGCTGGGGCTCTGGCTTCGACGTGTTGGCAATGCTCTTGGGCTTGCCTGGTGCCGTGGGCCAGGCCCGCTGCGGCATGAAAGCACCACTGCTGCGAGTGGTGCTTCATCCTCAGATTCATCAACTTCATGAGGTTCATCCATGTAGTCTGAGGCCTGGGGGGGCCGTACGTACGTGCGCTCCTCCCTATCTGTCTGCTCTGAATCCTGGGCGCACTCCAGCACGGCTTCTGCATGTGTGCGCTCCTCATGTTGGAACTCCACTTGCCTGAGGCACGCCTCGGGGTATGACTCTGTTTCGTAACGCTGGTTCTGCGTTTCCGCCGGGCGCCGTTTAGCACGGCTGACGAAGCTGAACTGTTTGGTCGTGCGAGCCGAGGCCGTCCTCGAGGACATGAGCTGCTGCAAAACTACACTGCGTTCGCGCCGTAACTCTTCGACTTGATTGATGCCAACGACCTGAGCTCCTGGGAGCACTGGATTTGGCGTTCGAATGCCTCAATCGTCGCACCTAGGGCTGTGCGGAAATCGCCCAGTTCCTGCGGGTCCGCTGGCGGGTCCTGCCACATCCGACGTGCGACAATTGTTCGGGAGACCAAGGCGGAAAAAAACATAATCTGTTCATCCTCATCGATCCATGGCCGTGCTTTACCTCTGCTATCTTGCTTCTGCCACGGTGGGGTTCTATGCTTGCCACTGCTTCTGACACTAAAGCTGTTTCTGACTTTCGATTGGGAGGTCGGGTGGCACTTGACACACTGCTTGGCCTCAGGCTTGTTCACCTGGCTGCACGCTGGGCATTCCCATCAACACTGGACTTGGCGATGCTGCCTGCTTTGCCGTTTTCGACTTTTCTTGCGGGGTCTCGACGGCTGTCTGCTTCTCTCGCGCTGTCCTCGCTGGCTCCACGACATGGCAGTGAAGCTGTGGTGGCCTGCGAGAAGCTCGGTGGCGGCGACAACTTGCAGTAAGGCTCCAGATTTGCTGCGGTCCGCTCTGGCTCTCCTGTGCCAGGCGGGCCCTGGGGCACTGTCACGGGTAGCCTTCCTTCCTCGCGCCATGGTTGGGTGGGGTGCGCGGGAGGGCTGGCGCGTGTGAGGCCTGGCCGGCGGGAGAATTCGCAGGTACGCTGGTACCTGCGCCCGAATTCCCCTCGAGCCCGCGATGGCTTTGAGGAGGAGGACAAGGAGAAAGGCGGAGGGAAGAGGAAGACTAGGAGGAGGAGGAGGAGGAGGAGGAGGAGGCGGAGGACAAGGAAGAGGAGGAGGACTATGGTGGGATGCCTCCCACCTGGGGTGGTCCGTCGCGCCCCGCGCGGGCAGCCTGGCAGCCAACGCGGTGCTTTGCCCAGCCAGGGGCACGCGAGAGGTCCGACTCCACCAGTAAGCGACGCATCACCGAATCCAGCCATGGCGACAAGTAATGAATGGGGCCCAGGGACACACCAATAGATAGACATCAATCCCAGAATTCCTATGTTTTCCATCTGCTCTAGATGTTCGTCTTCCCTTCCCATCTTCGCCACGTGTTTGTTTTGCTTTGCCCCTCCTGAAGGATGCCGCCTGTCCAGAATCTTCCTTCCCAGGGAGACGAGGCCAGGACAAGGATATGTTCGGGTGAATAAAATTCGAGCATATCTGAGATCCAGCGGCTCTAGAAGACGTCTCGGGCGCCGCGGCCCTTTCAGAGCGTTCCAGATCGCTCTGAGAGCGTTCATGAACGCGTTCCCGAACGCTATACTGGATGTATCATCGTCCTAGTCCCGTCCGGCACGCTCAGGAATGATGCGGAGGAGGAGGAGGAGGAGGAGGAGGAGGAAGAGGAGGAGAAGGAGGAGGACGAGGACGAGGACGAGGAGGCGCAGATGCAGCAAGTCGGTTGCAGCAGAGCCAGCACCAGGGGCAGCAGCGGCAGCAGTCGGCGGCAAGAGTCTTGATAAGACGTGAGAAGTCGAGAGGAGAGGGAGCTGGTGGGCCGGGGTGGGTGGAGATATGTGGGGAGAAGCGACAGGGAACGTTTCAGCTGGCGGCGTGGAGGGAAATTCTGCAGCCGGTCAATCGGCCGTCGATGATGAGGAAAGGAGTAGAACAAAAAACAGGACCCTGGAGGAAAAGAGAGGAAGGAAAAAGAACAGGGAGGATAAGAAGGAGGAGGAGGAGGAGAAAGCATAAGAAAGAAGAGAGGTGAGAAGCAGGAACGAGGAGGAGTAGAAAGGAGAACAGAGGATAATGCCCGCCAGCGACAGCTCCAGCGGGCGCCTCCGCCGGCGGTCGTCATCCCACCACCTCGTCCTCGCCTGCGTCGTCCATGTCCTCCTCGTCCTCGTCCTCGTCCCCGCCCTCCTCGTCCTCGCCCTCGCCCTCGCCATCCTTGCCCTCGCCACCGTCGATGGCCGCGCCGACGCGGACGACCAAGGCCACGACGACGGCACGACGACGGCGACGACGACGACGACGACGACGGCGGAGACGACGGCGACGACGGCGACGACGACGGCGGCGGCGGCGGCGGCGGGGCGTCCTGGTGCGCTCCTCCGGCCTCCTGGCCAGCTCTGGGTCCCCGGCCTCGCCCCGGCGCCTCCGCAGCGCGTCGAACGGCCTCGCGGCCCGCCGGCGTCGCCAGCGCCGTCCGCTTCGTCCTCGTCGGCGTTCGCGTCGTCCGTCGTGGTCGTCGGCGACGTCGTCGTCGTCGTCGCCGCCGCCGCCGTCGCCGCCGCAGCCGTTGCCCGCGTCGCAAGTCATGGTCGTCGCAGGGGGAATCGCCGTCGCCCTCGTCGCCTCCGCTGGTGTGCGCCACTGCTGTCGCCCTCGACGGCAGCGGCGACGGCGACGAGGGAGGAGGTTCGCTGGGAGCCTCGGAGACACCGGGGAGCCTCGAAGGACCAGGGGTCGTCGTCGTCGTCGTCGCCGTCGTCATCGTCATCGTCGTCGCCAATGTTGTCGTCGTCGCCGTCCGCATCGTTATCGACAACGAAATCGTCGTGGTTGTCGTCGTACGTTCCCTGTCCCTCCTCCTCCCCAAATAATTCCACCGACCCCCTCCCACCAGCTCCCTCTCCCCTCGATGCACTCACGTCTTGTCAAGACTCTTGCCGCTGACTGCTGTGGCTGCTGCCGCTGGTGCTGGCTCTGCTGTTGCTTCCCTGCTGCAGTAGCGCCTCCTCCGCCTCCTAGTATTGATCCTTCTCCTCCTCCTCCTACTCATCATCATCATCATCATCATCATCAGCATCATCATCATCATCATCATCATCATCATCATCATCATCAGCATCATCATCATCATCATCATCAGCAGCAGCAGCAGCAGCAGCATCAGCATCAGCATCATCATCATCATCATCATCATCATCATCATCATCATCAGCATCACCAGCATCACCATCATCATCATCATCATCATCATCATCATCATCAGCAGCATCACTACCATGATCAGCAGCATCATCATCATCAGCAGCATCATGATCAGCATGATCATCATGATCATCATCACCATCATCATCATCGTCATCATCAACACCACCATCATCATAATCACAACCACCACAACCAGTATCATCATCATCGTTGTCGTCATCATCATTACCATCACCACCACCATCATCATCATGATAATCATCGTCGTCATCATCCATTATCAACTTCATGATCATCACCACCATCATCATCGTCGTCGTCGACGGCGTCATCATCATCAGCATCATCGTCATCCTCATCTTATTATCATAAGCTTCATCATCATCAGCAGCAGCAGCACATCCTCAGCAGCAACATCATCAGCACCAGCAGCTGCATCAGCATGAGGTGTCCCACTTGGGCCAGGCGGTGTCCTGGGTGTCCCGGGTGTCACTAGGAGCGAAAGTCCGTTTCCCGTGCGCCGGTGGCCGGGAGGTGTCCCAGTTGGGCCGGGCGGTGTCCCGGGTGTCCTGGGTGTCAGTAGGAAAGTCCGTTTCCCGTCCGCCGGTGGCCGGGAGGTGTCCCAGTCGGGCCGGGCGGTGTCCCGGGTGTCCCGGGCGTCCCGGGAGTCCCGGCGCTAACGCATGTCGTTAATTTCATAATTTATTTTTGTTCGGCGCCTGCGGCGGGCTTTCTTATTCAATCCAGCTTATCTTATCCAATCCCTCTTGTCCAATCCAATCCATCTTATCTTATCCAACCAATATTGCCCCATCTTATCATATCCCACCAAATCCAATCCACCCAACCCAATCCATCAATACATTTGTTTCTGCGCCTGCGGCGGGCCAATCCAATCCATCTTATCTTCTCCAATCCATTTCTCCAAATCAAATCCATCTTATCCCATCCAATCCAATCCACCCAACCCAATCCAACAATTAATGTTCGTCGGCGCCTGCGGTGGGCTTTCTTTTTCGAGCCAGCTTATATTATCCAATCCACCTTGTCCAATCCAATACATATTATCTTATCCAACCCATATTGTCCCATCTTATCTTCTCCCACCGAATCCAATACATCCAAACCAATCCATAGTAGATAGTGAGATATCATCGTCATCGCGATCACCATTGTGCTGGAGGGAAACTCTGATAGAGAGGGAGAGAGAGAGAGAGAGAGGGCGAGAGAGGGAGAGAGACAGAGAGAGAGAGAGACAGAGAGAAAGAGAGAGATGAGATCAAGGAGACAGGCTGGAGGTCAGTCAGGGTGGGCATTTGATCTCAATCCCCTCCCAACATCCTTATCGCCCGCAGGGCGGTCGTATAGGTATCCTACAGATCACACCGTGCAGCGCGGCCAGGGCAACGGTTCTTGCTGAGCTTGGCAGTGTTGACGGTACTGGCGGTGGCTGCAGTGGCGGGGGCAAACGACGTGGTGGAGCACGAAGTCCTTGGCGTCGTCAACCTTGGGTTCGGCTCGCACCGTGGTATCTGGACAGCTACGGCAGCAGCGGTGGACGGTCACAGACCCGACCCAGGAGCTGGAGTCAAGGAAGCAGTGAAGGTGGGATCAAGGCCTACTGTCAGAACGACAAGCGCGGCAAGTGACTGTGGACAGATCGGCTGACAGAAGCAGGCTACAAGTGCAAGTGCGGTGGTACGGAGTGCCAGCCTGGCAGCTACGGCGGCTACTACCACCGCTACTACGAGAAGGACACCCCTGGCACATCCATCCAGGCGCTCGAGATGGCGGTGCAGCGCAGAATAGGGGACGACAAGAGACGCATCGAGGAGGCTCTCAAAATCTTGGCGCCGAAGCCTGTAGGAGGTGGTGCTAAGCAACCTGTCCCTGGATCGCGAGCAGCACTTCGAGCAGCAGAGGACGCAGCGCAGAAAGCCACGCGAGGCGTACCGTCGGCGAGAGCGACTTCGTTCTGAGCTCGAGCAGGCGGAGAGGGACTTCGTGGACCGCTCGGCGGAGGTCTCGCAGGCAGAGAAAATCGCGTCAAGGAGAAGCTACGGCGTCACCCCCTCGGGGCTCTTCCAGCGCGCGGAGCTGGAGGAGGCAAGCCCATGCTTTCCCATCGCGGCGTTGCTTGGCGACGACGACCTGGAGATGGACATGGGCGAACTCTTCGACCAGGACGATTGCGAGGTTGTGGTCACAGCGGAGGACATCAAGGAGTTGGAGAGAAGCGCAAGGCCGACTTCGTCATGCAGGCGAAGGCCACGGTCAAGCAGGCCTTCGCATCAGCGGCGGAGAAGCTCAAGGAGCAAAAGACGGTGCCGCAAGCTTGGACCTGCGGAGGCAGAATAAGAGGAAGGTCAAAAAAGCCGAGCCACAAGGCGAAGGAGCACCAGCAGGAGAAGCAGTAAGTACCCGGAGGTGTGCCCGCACCAGCAGCAGCAGCGGCAGCTACGTCTTCGTCGAGCGCGGCTTCGGCCACCGGTGCACGCCGCCGCGACACGCTAAGTCAGCTCTATCCGCTTGCATGGCATAGCGTGTCGCCGGGGCCGCCGCCGCGACACGCTAAGCCAGAAAGAGAAGTATCGAGTTGGGAGGATGGGGTTGGGAGGATACGGGGCATGACTGTGTGATCAGTATGGACACTCGACATACGCGATAGCACGGATGATCCTATCATCTCTCCAAACCCTATCCTCCCAACCCCGTAGCTGTTTTTTTCGGACTACACCAAAGGTCCTGACCCCAGACATGCTATGTCCTGTTGTTTTCCATATCCGCTCCTCAGAAAATCCCGGCCCCTTAGTGGGACCTGGGTTTAGTGGGACCTGGTGTTGGAAGAACTGGGTTTAGTGGGACCTGGTGTTTTTGATGTGTACTGGGGGACGCCCCCCCCGCCCCGTTCCACTAACCGGAACTGCCGTCACCCGAAAAAACACCAGGCACGGCAGACCTGGTTTAGTGATTCTGGCCAATCTTTTGGGGCTCCTGGGCCCTACTGCTAACCGGGTCCCCTTTCCTTGGGCCCTGGCTATACCCGACCCCTCCCTCAGGACCGGTCTCTCGCCCCGAGCCGTTTTGCCGATGGCCCCAGGGCCCAGCGCGAAGCCCCCCCCCCCCCTCGGGGCCGAAGAGCACCGAGAACCGCCCATGCCACGACGCGCGCTTGTCTGACGACCTACCAGACCACCCCAACCCAACCCGAAGACGCACATTTAGTTCTAGGAGGTCGGCCATGTCCCTTCTACAGGCGGATTTTGGACGCAAAACAAAAAAAACAAGAAGGACAAAACAAAAAAAAGAGAGATCGTCCCCCGACTAATTGTTTGTACTATTTTTGAGTGTTCCTCCTGTCGAGGGACACGCCCGACTTAAAAACCCAACCCGAAGACGCAAATATTTAGTTCTGGCTGGAGGGGTACGGGTCTGCTCTGCGACGCTCCCCCCCCCCACTGAAAATGCAGGGCAAGATGGGGGCCTCTGGGGGGTTGGGTTGAGGTGGGTCGGTGGGTGGCGAGGTCCCAGGGACCGTGCAACCAGCGTTGAGTCGGGCCTGTCCCCCATACAGGGGGATTTTCGATGAAAAACAAAGAATACCAAAAAAAACCCAAGAGGGCCAAAAAATACTCAAAGGGGTATTTTTTAATTTTTCGACGAAAACCCCCCTGTAGGGGGACAGGCCCGACTTAAAACCAGCGTGCCTGGCCGCAGGGGGGGCCCCCGGCAGGGCTCCTCCGGTGCTCGCCCAGCGGCACGGAGCGCTCCGCCGGCGCGGTGCGCTCCTCGCGCGGGGCCGTGCCGCGCGCGAAGGGGCCGCGGCGAGCGAGGAGGGGCGGAAAGAAAAAGCCACGAACAGGAGCTCGGCACGCTCTGCACGGATTTCTTGGATCTGCGCTGGACGCCCCCTCCCCGGCGCGCGGAGCGAGCCAGGGGCGGCGCCAAAAGGCGCCGCCGGGGGGGGGGTCCCAGCGCGGATCCAGGGAGTCCGCGCGCGGAGCGCCAAAAGTTCGTGTTCATGGCGTGTTTTCTTCTTCGAGGGGAGAGGGCAGAAGCTTCCTCGGGAAGGCAGCCCCCCGCCCTCGCCGCCACCCAGGCATCCGACGTCGTGTTTTTTTTGTTTGTTTCACGGCACGGCTCCGAAGAAGAACGCTGGCCGCATCTGCCGGATCCGGGGCCGCGGTCTTCGGGTCGAGGATTTCGGAGGGGGGGGCACGGGGGTTCTGGATCGAGGATCGAGGCTTTCGGGTCGAGGATCGAGGTTCTCGGATCGAGGACTCCCGGGCCGAGAATCGGGAAAAGAGGCTTCCCGATCGAGGATCGGGGTTTTCGGATCGAGGGACGAGGATCAAGGCTTTCTGGATCGAGGATCACGGCGAGGGCATTGGATAAGAAACCCTCAGGCGAGGAATCCAGGGCCTGGAAGCTGGTGGAACACCACCTGAGGCTTGGCCGTGGACATGGCTGCCGCCCCAAGTCGACCAGGAACCCTCCAGGGTTTGAAGCCTTCTGGGCACATTCCTCAACGAACGCACCCACCGCAGCGGGGCGCGAGGATCGAGGCAGGAGGGCTCGGGAAGTATACCCAGGCCACCCGACTTGGCTCCTCGCACCCCGCGATGCGGGGCGCGCGGTTGTCTGCGCGCCTTCGCGCCCCTGCCCTGAGGAAAGGCGCGCGCGCGCCTCTCCAACCCGAGCCGCGATGCGCGAAGCGCGATCATCTTCGCGCCCCCGGGAGCGGCCTCGTGCCTCCCGCTCGGAGAATGCCACGCACGGCGCGGCTGGACCCAGGGCGTCATAACAGCCTTTACGAGCGCTCCGCCGGCCGAACTGAAGAACAGCGGGGGGTGCCCTCCCCCGGGAGGCACAAGCGCATCCAACGAGCACGAAGAACATCATGTAGGGCACCCTCCCCGAACCGACCTCGATCTTATACCTCGGCCCGAGCGTAGCAGCTGAGGCGATGCGGGGCGGCGGCTGCACTGGTCGCGCCAGTGCTGCTCCGCAAGGGCAACGGATGGGCGGACCTGCGCGCCAACGTCTGAACAAGACGGCTCCGGGGCGACGAGCTCGATTGCCGCCACAACCGCAAGCCGTGCACGCGGGCGGGCGAGGACGGATCGGACATCGGACATCGGCCTGCAGTCGAGGCGCCGCGGGGGCACAGCAGGTGGGCACCGGGGCGCCGCTATGAATGACAATGAATGGCGGTGGAGCAAGTCAAAAGCGAGCTAGACAGGGAGTACAGAGGGAGAGAGAGAGAGAGAGAGTGGACAGAGACAGAGAGAGCGAGAGAGAGGAGAGGGCGGGCGAGGACGGACGGGGGGAGGAGCGCAGCCATCCTGCGAGCGCAGGGAGCACCGAGGGACGAGGGGGGGGGGGCCTCTTTGCTGGCCAGAGCGGGCCTTCGTGCACGAGCTGGTTCCCCGCGCCGGGCCCCAGGGGGAGCGGCCCGAGAGGCAGAGTCGCGTCCTGAGCCCACCGGTGGTCCTTGTTCTGGCGTGGTCGGCTGTGGGAGGAGCAGGCGGACAGGGCCACCGGGGTGGCCCGCCCTCACCGCAGCCGAGGGGCCGATGGGCAAGGAGAGCAGAGAGAGGGGGGGGGCCTGCCCGCGGGAGGAGGAAGGCGTCCGCTTCTCATCCTCGCAAGTGCCGTCGTCTCCACCTCCTCCTCCTCCTCCTCCGCCTCCGCCTCCGCCTCCAGCTCCTCCTCCTCCTCCTCCTCCTCCTCCTCCTCCTCCTCCTCCTCCTCCTCCTCCTCTTCCTCTTCCTCCCCTTCCTTCTCCTCCGCTTACTCCTCCTCCCCCTCCTCCTCTTCCTCCTCCTCCTCCTCCTCCTCCTCCTCCTCCTGTCAGCCCCGCTCCGCGTTCTCCCTCGCCTGCGGGCGCCCCCCCCCCCTCATTGCTCGCACGATCGGCCCATTTCCAAAATCAGACCCCCCCTTCGCCTGACTACACCCTGGAATTGGTAAGGGGGTGGTCGAGGGCCCCACATCCGCACACCGAGCAGCCAGCGGCGACGGCGACAGGAGGGCGGAGGAGCAGAAGAGCACACCACAAAGGGACGCGCATCTCCACTGCAGCTGGGAGGCCAGGACCAAGGCGCCGAGAGAGGGCCATGCCCGTCGGGTGAGAGCGAGAGAGAGCGCCCACGAACCTGATCACCGCGGAGCGGCAGAGAGGACGGAGGAGCAGGAGAAGCGCGGTCAGCACGAGCAGCAGGAGGTCAAGCGAGCTCAGGACGAGGATCGTTCGTCCTGGCATGGCCGCAGCGCTGGATGCGTCCTCCGAGCGAGCGAAGCCTCCCGGGCTCCAGGGGCAGCGATCCCAATTCGACGTTGTCTCCATCCTTTCGAGGACGCTTCCCCCCCAGAAGCCGAGATCGAGAGAGCACGCCTGCACCGAAACACGGCACCCCCGCCGCGGGTCCGCCCACCTGCGGCGGCCGCGGTGCCGTGGTGAGACTGGCCCGGGCACAGCGGGCTGTGGCGCGGCCTGGCCCCGCCAGCCTCGCTCTCCTGGGGCTTTGCTGTGCTCCTGCTCGTTAACATTTGTCACGTGTGCGGAGCTACACTGTCAATGCCGCGCTTTCCTGTGGCCTTGCTGCGTTCCTGCTCGCAACGCACACCGCCAGAGGCGGCGGAGAGCTTGAGCGATCCACCTACCAAAAGTGCAAAAGCAAGCGAAGAGGCGGCTGGGGGAGGGGTTGGAGAAGAAATCCAGGGTCCAGAAGCCCGTGGAACTCCAACCGAGGCTTGGCCGTATCACGGCCGCTCCCATCTGACAAGAAACCCTCAAGGGTCTGAAACCCATTGGGCGTACTCCTTGACCAACGCCCCCGCCGTAGAAGAGGGGAAGGGAAGACACCTGGAAGCCGAATACACAGATCCAAGGACTGGCCACAAAAACGAAAACGAAGTGGAGTCCAACGTTTAAACAACAACAACAACAACAACAACAACAACAACAACAACAACAACAACAACAACAACAACAACAACAACAAATGTTTAAACCGAAGCCGCTGCCACACGAAATGAAGAACGAAACGAGCCGATTGAAACACCAACTAACAACGAAACGAAACAAGCACGACCGAACACACAAAACAATGGCCCAAGCCAGGCTAAACAGCGCTGTGGCTGGTCCTTGCACAGATGGCTACATGCACACATGAAACATCAGGGGGCCTCGGGCTGGACACGCATGCGGGAGAGCCACCTGCGGAGGGCCACCGTGCCCACCCACCGCGAGGGCCGAGGCGCCGGAAAGACCCGCGGCCACGCACGTGTCCAGCGCATGCCCAGGCAGGGCGCGTCATTCGTGTCCAGTTTCCCGGCTGGCATCGTGCCGACCGCCTACGCCACCCAAGAGGAGGAGGAGGAGGAGGAGGAGGAGGAGGAGGAGGAGGAGGAGGAGGCGGAGGCGGAGGCGGAGGCGGAGGCGGAGGAGGAGGAGGAGGAGGAGGAGGCCCCAAGATTTCTGGGAGGCCCAGGTCTCCTTCGCAGCACCCCTCACGAGGCCCAAGGGCCCAGAGGGCCCCAGGGGCCCCAGGGGCTTCAGAGCGGTGCGAAACGCTGGGGGCACCTCGGGCCCGCGACACCTCGTGCACCCTGGCAGCCCCCGAACCATGGTCGAACGACACGCACCCCTACCCACAAGGGGGGGACGGAGGGGGCTACGGGCGCGTGTTGCTGGATGGAGGTCCCCGCTCGACTGGGAGCTTCCCCCGGGGTCAGACATCCCGCACTCACACCCTGAGATACCGACGCCTCCACAAATTGGAACAGAATGAAAAATCACGACCACAGCCCTGGATCCCATCTTTCTGCGTTACTTTTCGAGCTGGACTGATCTATGATGGTCCTGGGAGCGGAAACCCAGGGAAAACGCCCGGAGTGAAAAAGTTGCGACGCCAGGATCTCAGGGCACACCCATAGCCAGTCCTCCTTCCTCCGACCCCACTATGGGTATGGGAGTCCCGCTGGCTCGCCAAACCAGGCCCGCAGCGACGACGACGACGACGAAACCCACGACGACGACGACGACGACGACGACGACGACCACCACGACGATGACACATTCGGCAGGCTCGCGTCGTGCCAACTTTGGCGCTAGTTCCTGACACCGCGGGGATCCTTCGACCTCGAACGATCGGCCGTTTCCAAGACGTCCGATCGCTCAACATCGACCGATTCTGGGTCGCCGGCGGCGTTCAACGCTGAACGCCGGCGGCGTGGTCGGCGCTGGTCGACACGTCGCGAAGCTAACACAGAGTGAGGGCATTGGATAAGGAGCCATTGGAAAAGGAATACAGGGTCTGGAAGCCAATGGAAATCCAACCGCGGTCGAGGAGCGCGTTCCACTGCTCGCAAAGCAGCTGCTCGCAAGTGGCCCGAATCCGCCGCAGGGGGTTCACGCCCCATGCTCTGGAGGAGGAGGAGGAGGAGGAGGAGGAGGAGGAGGAGGAGGAGGAGGGAGGAGGGGGGAGGGGGAGGGGGAGGAGGAGGAGGAGGAGGAGGAGGAGGAGGAGGAGGAGGAGGAGGAGGAGGAGGAGGAGGAGAAGACGTGTGCTTTGCTCGGACGTTTGCGAGTGGTGGAGCGCGCTCGGTGACACGAAGCGGCCGACGCTGGTCGACACGGCGCGAGCCCTGCCGTGGCCAAGCCCGCTGCGGCGGCGGGCCACGCCGACGCTGGCCGCCGCGAGGCCGCCGCGAGGCCGCCGCAAGGCCGCAAGGCCGCCGGGCGGCACGGCCGGCCTGCTCGTCGGCGAGCGCCGCGGGCGTGCGGGCGGCCGCGGGCCTCGGCTCGCGAGAAGGAGGTCCAGGGAGGCGCGCAGAGGTGCAGTCCCAGACATGCTCGCGGCGCTTCTCTTGCATTTTGCTGTTGAGAAGGGGGGAAAAAAAAAGGACGGGAGGTTCTGCCCCCCTTCTCGGCCCCTGGGAGCCCTCGCCTGGCCTCGGGGTCGTCAGGAAGCGACGCCGGTCGAGAGCCCGGCCCTGGGGAAAGGGTCGGGCCTTCCGGGGAGGGCCCGTACTGAGAGAATCAGGACGTCGCACGTCTGGGATGGGGGCCCACGTCAGGAAACACGACTCCCCCTTTCCGCAATCAAGTGGGGGAGATCTGTTTTCGGGGGGGGTCTGGCTTGAGCTGCCTTGAGGGTTCCAGGTCTGGGCAAAAGGCCGCCATTTCATGGCTGGTCTGGGGGATATTAAACTGGCTCGTCTGGGAGGTTTGTGACCCCCATCCCTTTGACTACGAAATTCGGAGTACGGTTTGTCAGGGGACGGTGGGTGTCTTTGGTTCGCATTCGCATGGAAGGCTTGCAGCGTTCGCGAAGAAACCGCAGCTGGCGGGATACCCTGAGTGTCGTGACGCTGGGTGGCTTTGCGCGAGCCACCAATCAACCGCCTGGGCCAGGGCACCCTGAGTTCCTTCGCTGACAGCCGCTAGGCGATTGTGTCTCTTGTCATGGGCTTCTGTAGACAAAGATTCCAGTATTCCCGACATGATTCATTTTCACCTGGATGGTTGTGTCCCCATCCACCCCCTGTATGGTTCTATAGTTCCTGAGAGTCGATGTTGGTTTGAGTCTGTATCAACTATTCTTTCGTGCTGTCAAAAACGCTGGGGGGCGATTCTGTGAAATCGACACTTCGGTGTTCGCGCAACCAAGAAAGAGAACAACGGCAACCCAACACATACAACAGACAAACAACAATACAACACGGAATAAACCGACAGCGGCGCGAACGTGCATCCCACAAACAAGAAAGAAACAAAACGCATCCAAAAAACGGGGTGGGTGACAACCACAGCATCGTACCCCCAGAAGGGGTACCCCGAAAACCGAGACGACCCAAATGGACCCAGAAAAAATGGTACCCAGAAAAAGGGAATGGAAACGACCCGAAAAAGACCCAAAAGAGGGTACCCAGAAACGTGGCTCTGAAACTACGCACGCCCCCGCGGTTTCAAACATCATCTGAGCCGCTGGCGTCCGCGGCTGCATCCGCACGCGCCCGCGCGCGCCCGCCCGCGCGCGGCGCGGCCGCCGCCGGGCGCCGGGCGCCCCCCGCAGGCCGCGGGCCCGCCCGCGTAGGGCGCCGCCGTGGCGCGCGCGCGGTGGCGCGCGTGGCCGCCGCTGGCGGCGCGCGCGGCCCCTGGACCGCCTGCGCGGCCTGAGCCGCGGAGGGCGACAACGGCACGCCTTCGTCGTCGTCGTCGTCGTCGCCGTCGTCGTCGTCGTCGTCGTCGTCGTCGTGCTCGCCTGCCTGCGATAGCCCTCCGCTCGCCCCGAGGGGCCAGGCGCCGACGGGCACACGCACATCCCCCCAGTTGCGCACCTTTGTACGTCCCTTGTGCCAGCGCGCTCCCCCCCGTTACGACGCACGGCCATGCCCACATGCGCCAGAAACCACCACCACCAACACCACCACCACCACCACCACCACCACCTTCATTGTCATCGTCATCGTCACCATCATCATCATCATCATCATCATCATCATCATCATCATCATCATCATCATCATCATCATCATCATCATCACCATCAGCAGCAGCATCAGCAGCAGCATCAGCATCAGCATCAGCATCAGCAGCATAAGCATCGCCATCAGCATCATCATTCCCACCGCCAACACCATCACCCTCATCATAATCAGCAGCATCAGCATGCATCATCATCATCAGCATCATCATCAAAATGATCATCAGCACCCTCATCATCATCATCACACTCAGTAGCATCAACCACACCTCCATCATCAACCTAATCACCATCATCACCAGCATCCGCATCATCAGCATCAGCATCATCACAAATCACAATCACCATCATCATCATCATCATCATCAGCAGCAGCAGCAGCATCATCAGCATCATCATCGTCATCATCATCAGCATCATCAACAGCAGCATTGCAACATCATCCTCATCAGCATCGGCATTACTATCGCCATTCCGACCACCATCCCAATCATCACCACCACCATCATCACCATCATCCTCATCCTCAGCACCATCATCATCAGCATCATCATGACCACATCATCATCAGCATTATCATCAGCATCAGCATCGTCCTCGTTATCATCATCAGCATCATCATCATCAGTAGCACCATCCCCATATCCATGCTCATGATCATGCTCATCATCAGCATCAGTATCATCCTCATCATCCTCATCCTCCTCATCATCATCGTCATCATCATCAGCATCATCATTAGCATCATCAGTATCATCATTCCTGCACCTCCCCACGCCCGCCCGTGCCCCATGCCATGTGCACCTGCCTCCCTCCTCCCCCTCCCAGACACAAGTCGCCCTGACTTGCTCGAGACGTGCGTCCCCAGACTTCTCGACCCCCTCTCCGAGGCCAGCTTCTCATCCCAACCGTCGCCGTTGCACGGACAGTGCAGCGGCGCGAACCCCTGACCCCACCTACGCTGGCCCTGAAGGCGGGGGGCGGGGGGGCACGTCAAAAGCTCCCGTCGTGACGGCCCAGGTCATTAATTGGCCGATTTTCCACCACCACCACCACAAGTTGGAGGGGGAGGGGGTCCTCGTCGTCGTCCTCCTCCTCCTCCTCCTTCTCCTCCTCCTCCTCAATTCCGTCCTCCTCCTCCTCCACTTCCTTCCCCCCCTCCAACTTATGATGGTGATGGTGGAAAACAGGCCCATCAGCCATGGCTCCCGTCACGCTGTGACGGGGACCGCTCAGTCCCCGTCACAGCGTGGACCGCTCAGTCCCGAGTGATCTCCGCTGGTGGCACCACGAACGCCGCCAGGCACCCTCGGGTCATGAAAACAATGCGACGGGAGGGCTTTCCCTATTTTCGACCTCTGGGGGCCCTCGCCAGCCCTCGGGACCGTCAAAAAGCGGCTCGGGATGAAAAACTGGTCCTGGGAAATAGGTCGAGACCTCCAGGGGTCCACGTCATGAAAAAATTATGACCGGGCCACCTCAGACCCCCAGCCGGCTCCAAGGCCGACGTTAACGTGGAGGCTACGTATACAATCGGCAACAAGAAGGCCAACGTGACTGAAACTGCGGGCCGCGTACCCCTCACGAGCGTCAAGACGTGTGGAGGGGGGCAGCCGGGGCGGGCGCGCGCTCCGCATCTTCGCTGCAGCTGGGAGCCCACGCGGCACTTGGCGCTGCGCACGTGGGGCGGCACTTTGCAATGTCGGTGGCCTTGTCCTGCTGACATCCCTCAGGTTCCTCCTCCTCCTCCTCCTCCTCCTCCTCCTCCTCCGCCTCCGCCTCCGCCTCCGCCTCCTCCTCCGCCTCCGCCTCCTCCTCCTCCTCCCTCCTCCTCCTCCTCCTCCTCCTCCTCCTCCTCCTCCTCCTCCTCCTCCTCACGCCCTCCATCCAGCAGCTCGCCCTACCCCTCCCCCGAGGGCCGACGCCGCGAAGGAGCCGCGGCATCGCAGAGGGCCACGACCGGAGCCCTGCAGCCCCTGCGTCTGCGGCATCCCTCGAGCCAGAGCGACCTGGGAGGGCCCCTGGGTCCCAGGCCCGAGACAGGGCGAGAACGCCCGCGCGAGAGAACGCTGCGACGGCCGGGTCGCGGGGTCCTCCCGCCGAGGCCCCCGACTCTGCGGCCTGTGCCACGTCACGGCGTGGGCCCCATGGAGGCCTGGACCGAGTCGTTTGCTGACGCCCCCGGGGCCCGGTGAGGGCCCCAGGAGGCCGAAAATAGACAGGAGCCTTCCGCCGCGACTTGAGGCACGACGGGAGGAGGTCTGCGAGGCGAGGGGGGCACTCGTTGAACCACTCCACGAGGAAGTCGACGTTGCTCTCGTTGACCTGCCCCCCCCCCAGCCGGGGCTTAGTAAACGATAGAGGGGGAGAGGCTCAGGGGAGGAAATATCGACCTGGAATCGGCGATACATCGCCGATTGATCGGTGATAGGTCCACAGAATAGCGAATGCGCACGCTCCTGTGCGGGGAGTGGTAGCAGGCCCCTACCCGCGATCAGTGGGCGATTCGGGGTCGATGCGTCCCCCAATGATCCTAACCTCGGGCACGGCCTAACCGATCCCTTCCGAGACGTGCACCTCCCGTGACGTCCCCCGCGCCCTCCAGGCCTCCCTCTGGCCGCATAAATACGTCTTGGGGAGAGGCGAGGGGGACGTCATGGAAGGGGATGGTTTGCTAGGGGTCTGTTAGACCGACCCTCATATCCCTCCCAGGACTGGGGAAACAAAAAAGGTGTCCATACCGCTACCGAACCTCTCCCGGGGTGCCTTCTGACCAGAAGCTCGAAGCGAATCCAGCGGTGGCCACCAGGGCTCCCCAGGAGGCCAAAAAGGGGAAAACGGGTGAAAGGTAACGGTAAGGGTAACTACCTTTTCCTCCTCTGAGCATTCCCCTCCTAGCTGCCCGAGGTACGCAACACGCAACCCTTGGCGTGTTGACGCGGAGCTCACCACGTAGACTGAAAACGTACGTTGGGCGCGGAACGTTCGCCAAAAACGTGGACCAACACGTGGAGAAAACACGCAGCGTGTTCATACGGACGTGTTGAACACGGCACGTGTGCTGAGATCTGACGTCTCGAAAACAGGTGAAACCTCGTGAAAAATCACGGCCGGATTCCTAGACCCTGTCTTCCTGCTCCATGTTTCGAGCCAGATCGATCTGTGAGGGTCCCGTGGCCCGAAAACGGACGAAAAATCCCGGCTCGAAAAAATGGAGTCGACAGTACCTCAGTGCCCAGACATGCGACGTCGTGATATTTTCTAAACGCGGTCCCTGGAAGTCCCGACTCTTTCCCGGGGGCCAGTTTTTCGTCCTGAGTCATTTTTTGACGGTCCCGAGGCCCAGCGAGGACTCCCAGGGGCCGAAAAAATTGCCCGAAAAGAACCGTCCTGAATTTTTGCTCGACGCGAGCATCTCTGGGCGCGTGGCGTTTCACAACGAGCGCCTCAGCGCAGCTAGAATCGGCGATACGCAAGAGTGGCACTGGGTGAAAGTGACCTTTGGTGCGCAGCTTCTTGGGGGCCACGGGGGGACCAAACGCCAGCACGCCAGACGCTACCATCGCATCGCCTTCGACGATCGGGGCACCCCAATGGGCCCGCACCAAAGGTCACTCTGGCGAAGGGTCACTCCTACTCGGCGGCGCGCAGAAAGGGGGTAGGGGGGAGGGGGAAGGCTTCTTAGAGGGAGGCTGCTTCTTAGAAGGCGCCAACATTGCATCTACAGACAAGGCCCGCGCCTTCTCAGAAGCAGGGGTGTTTCTAAGAAGCCTTCCCCCCTCCCCCTACCCCCCTCTGCGCGTGGCCGACTCACCCAGACCCCGACGTCGTGACTTTTTTGATAGCGTCGACCCCCAGAGGTCGGGACCCTTTCCCCAGGACCGATCTTGAATCCCGAATCGTCTGTTGACGCTGCCGAGGCCCGGGAAGGGCCCCCCCCCGGAGGCCGAAGATGGCGAACAAAAGCCTCCCCGTCGCGCGCTTTTTCCCCATGCGAGGGGGCCTGGCTTCGCCCAGTCGATCTCAGACCCCCCCCCCTCTCCGACGTTGCCCCCCCGGGGCCCGGGGCCCGAGCCGAGCGGCGCAGCGGCGCAGCGGCGCGGGGGGGGGGGGGAGCTCCAGCGGGTGGGGGGGGGGGCGGCGACCCGCCCCTCGCACGGCCCGCGCGCGGGGGGGGGGCGGCCCGCCGGGCGCGGGGCCGCCCGCGGCCCCGCCGCGGCTCGGGGCCGTCGTGGTGGCCCGGGGCCGGGCTCCTCGGGCACGGGGGCGAGCTCGAGGCGGGTGGCCCCCAGGCATGCTCGCGTCGAGCAAGAATTCGGGACCGGAGGTGCTTGGCCATTGTCGGCCCCTGGGAGCCCTCGACGGGCCTCGGGGCCGTCAAAAAAGGACTCAGGATGAAGAACCGGTCCCGGGGAAGGGTCGGGACTTCTGGGGGCCCCGTATCGAAAAATCAGGACGTCGCATGTCTGGGCTGGCGACTCCATGTTTTCGAGGCGGGCGTTTTCGTCTGGCGTCGGGCCTTGGGACCCGCACAGATCGATCCGGCTCGAAAACTGACGCAGGAAGATGGGGTCTCAAGCTCCGGTCGCCATTTTTCACAATGTTGCACTTTTGCTCTTAGTGTCGGATGTGAGGGAAATTCGAGGCTGGTCAGCGACAAGAGAGGGCAGCTGCTGCTGGAGGGCAGCTGATGCTGCTGAGCTAACCACCCTCGAGCCTGTCCCTATCCCTGAGATTCGCACGCCGTCTACGGGGGCCCTCCCCAGGAAGACGAATCCACGACGAGCATGAAAGCGTGTGACGATACATCGAGAATTACTGAGATCCGGCGGCTCTGGAGGATGTCTCGGGCGCCGCGGCGCTCCAGAACGCTCTGGGAGCGTTCCGCAACGCTCTGGAACGGATCTATCCTCGTCCTAGCCCCGTCCGACTCCTGTGAGAAACGTGGCGGCGCGCACAAGGGGGTGGGGTAGGGGGAGGGGGGAGGCTTCTTCGAGGTAGGCTGCTTCTTAGGAGGCGCGGGCCGTGTGCCTACAGATGAGGCCCGCGCCCTCAAAGAGGCAGGGTGCTTCTGAGAAGCCTTCCCCCCTCCCCCGTACCCCCTTCTGCGAGCGGCCTAGACACGGGCCCCCCAAGTGAGAATGTACAGACGGAGGCACGGTTGGAAGAGAAGTGACGACGTCAAGGTCTTCGAAGCACGAGACGGGGATCTATACATACGCATACAGACATATGTCATATATATATATGTTTATGCATAGATATGTGTACGTATGTATGTAATTTATATATATATATATATATGTATATATATGCGTGTCTGAAATAAACACATAGTAGTGCAGGGTTCAGGGTCTCCCTCCCTCCCATGGGTATGGCGTCCACCTCCACCCGTATGGGTCGCCCCCCGCAGAATGCGTGCGGGCGTGCCTGCCTGCATGCATGTGTGCGCGCAAGTGTAGTGCCCCCCCCCCCCTGTGGGTGTGCTGTGGTGCAGCGGTTGAATCACGGAGCGGGAGGGCTACAACCTTGCAGCGCAGAGGGGGTCTTGGCTTCCACAAGGTGATTGTCGTCGTCGTCGAATACGACGACGCCGACTTCCCCTAGCGTGGCTTTCGTCGTCGCTGTCCTCGGTGTCGTTGTCCTCGTCGCCATCCTCGTCCTCGTCCTCGCCCTCGCCCTCGTCGTCGTCCCTCCTCCTCCTCCTCCTCCTCCTCCTCCTCCTCCTCCTCCTCCTCCTCCTCCTCCTCCTTCTCGTCATCGAGGTCGTCGTCGTGGTCGCCGTCGTCGTGGCCGTCGACGTCGTCGTCGTCGTCGTCGCCGCCGTCGTTTTCGTCGTCGTCGTCGTCGTGGTCGTCGTCGTCGTGGTCGTCGTTTTCGTCGTTGTGGTCGTCGTCGTGGTGAAAGTCGTCGCCAGGGGAGGAGTAAGAGGAGGAGGAGGAGGAGGAGGAGGAGGAGGAGGACGAGGAGGAAGACGAGGAGGAGGAGGAGGAGGAGGGGGGCAAGAGGAGGAGAAGGAAGAGAGAGAAAGAGGAGGGAGAGGGAGACGAGGAGGAGGAGGGAGGGAAGAGGGGGGAGGAGGGGGAGGGAGGAGGAGGAGGAGGGGAGGAGGAGGAGGAGGAGGAGGAGGCGAACGTAAAAGAAGGAGGGGAGGAGGGGGAGGGGGGAGGGAGGAGGAGGAGGAGGAGGAGGAGGAGGAGAGCGTAAAAAAAGGGAGGAGGAGGAGGAGGAGGAGGAGGAGGAGGAGGAGGAGGCGAGCGTAAAAAAAAGGGAGGAGGAGGAGGAGGAGAAGGAGGAGGCGCAGGAGCCAGCAGGGGCAGGGGCAGGGAGGGCCGTCGGGCGCCTCCGCCGCCCGGGCCGTGGCCGGGTGCAGGAACCTGAGGAACTCCTCGAACTCGGCCTCCCGCCCGCCGCAGCGGGCTGGCACAGCAGGTCGGGGCCCAGGACGGGGAGGGCGGGGAGGACGGGGAGGACAGGGAGGACAGGGAGGACAGGAAGAACAGGGAGGACAGGGAGGACAGGGAGGACGGGGAGGAGGACAGGGATGGCACGCGCAAATCGAGAGGTGTATACAATCTTTTCGCGCAGCCACGCCGCCCACCCCCCCCCGACGCTCCCCTCTGGAGTGGCCTGTCGCTGCGCGGTGGCATTGCAGGCGGGTACCTCCTCGTCCTTCGGCGCATCCATCCCCGCGGGCACGGTCGCCGAGTCGGCGGCAAGGACGGGGAGGGCGGGGAGGACAAGAGAGGGCAGAGCAGAGCAGAAGATCGCAGTGGAGCTCCAGCCAACGGGGCTGCAACTACGAGGAGCGCTGCGCGCTGCTTCTGCAGCCTTGCCTCGCTAGCGACACAGGTGGCCTGTCGGGAGGACAGGGAGCAGGGAGAGGAGGGAGGGAGAAACACAAAGGAGGACGGGGAGGAGGGCTGGGAGGGCGAGGAGGAACAGGAAGGCGAGGGGGAGGAGGAGGAATTCCTCGAACTCGGCCTCTCGCCCACCGTGGCTTGTTGGCACAGCGAGGCGGGGTCGAGGCTCAGTGGTTATTGGAAACAGCAGAGCTTTTTTTGTTTCCGTTTCGTTTTGCCGTTTTCCTTCCGGTCCCCTCGCCGTTGCTTTCCCGTTTCGGCCCCAACTTTAATCCCGGGCCGTTTTTACCATTCCGGCCGACCTCCTTTAACCGTTTTCACCATCAAAGATTTGGAAACAGTACAAAAACGGCCCTGTCGTTTCCAAGAACCACTGAGGATCAAGGACAGGGAGGACACAGAGGACAAGGAAGACCCTGAGATCCTGGCGCTGCAACTTTTCACAACGGGCGATTTCGCCCAGTTTCGGGCCTTGATGCCCTCACAGATCGATCCAGCTCAAAAAATGAAGCAGGAAGATGGGGTCTGGGGATCCGGTCGTGTTTTTTGCAATGCTGCAATTTGTTTGAAACGTCGGATCTCAGGGGGGGACAAGGGGGACAAAGAGGAGGAGGAGGAGGGAGAAGGGTTCGAACGAAGGATTCATAAAATGAGCGACACATGTGGCGCAGGGGATCGAACCACCTCGACGAAAGTCTTTAATCAACGCCAGCAAAACCTGCCTCCCGACAGCAAACTCGTGCCAAAGGCCCTTACAGAATGGTCTTGCCACCATTCCCCCAGGGATCCGTAACGGGAAGGGACGAAGGAGGGAGAAGGGCAGAGAGGACAAGGAGGAGGACAAGGAGTGTGAGGAGGAGGAGGAGGAGGAGGAGGAAAGGGAGACGAGGAGGAGGGAGGAGGCGCACACTGGACAAATGGGATCCATGCGCACGCGAAGGCAAGTAAAACAGCAAACGGTGGATCACAGAAAGCAGAGCGACCCCAGTCCCTGATCCCACAGGGCATCTCGCATGAGGGCCTGAACCAGATCGCCTGTCCCCATGCAGCGCAGGCAGCTGCATTCCAATTCGAGAGTTCACTGAAATCTGAATGAAGACATCGGGGGTGCGGACTGAAAAGCAAACGCCACCACGAAGGCCACGCGGCAGCAGAGGAAGCAGAGGGAGGAAGTGCAGCAAGGCAGGGAAAGGCGAGGAGGGGAAGGCAGAGGAAATGAAGTGACGGGGGGAAGGACCCGCGGAGCCATCCGCCGAAAATAGTGGGCAACCCCTCGGCAAGAAAGGAGGAGGGAACGACACTACTAACAATCAAAGCTCTCGCACCAGTATGCCGATAGAGCAGACGCCATATCACCAAGAGCCCTCATCGTTCGGCGACAATTTGGTGGCCCGCTCCAACCAGAATACGACACCAGCACTCCTCAAAGAGAAACCACCGTCAGAGCCATAGCGTAGCCCAGGTCAGTCAGCCCGAGGAGACGGACGAATCGATGGCAGTTTCGCGCGCCCCTCGCGGGTGCGTCTTTGCGCACTCTGGCACCGAGCATCTAGCGCCCACACGCGGCCTTTGCGAGAACCGGTGGGCCACGCAAACACAGACGCTTCCGCTCGGGCCATTGAGAGCTGCAGTGAGGCAAAACTGCGCCGCAGTCCTCAGCAGAAGGGGCAGTGAGAGGGAATTCAGAATGTTCTGGGGCAGGCCCGCCGGAGCTGAGATGAGGACGAGAGGAACGAGGACGAGGGGAGGGGGAGGGGGAGGCGGAGGGGATGTAAGAAGGAAGAGAAGCAGGAAGTAAGGCAGGAAGGAAGGAAGAGAGGAAGGAAGCCAGGAGGGAAACATTAGAGGAACAAATGTTAGGCAGCGTGGACCCCAAACAGCGTGCTTTAGCATTCTGGGTGATGCAGCCCACGTAGTGCAAGCTTTGTGGTGAACGCTGGGTGGTGCAAGCTACTTTGTGAAAGCTATGTGGTGCAAGCTGTGTGGTGGAAGCTGCCTGGTGCAAGCTACGCGGTGCAAGCCAGGTGGTGTAAGCTATGTGGTGCACGGACCCGCGGGACCCGCACACGGGCCTTGTGCTTGGGAACAGAAAGCGGCGACGGACGGGAAAGGACCCGCCGGGACCGCAGACGGGCCCAGTTTCGCAGAAGAGCAGCAAGAAACCCTCAGTGCAAGCACTGTGCGGGAAAAACTCCATGAACATACTTTCTCAGAGGCCAGCGCAGATTTCTTGGATCGGCGCTGGACTCCCCTTCCTGGCGCGCGGAGCGCGCCCGGGGCGGCGTCGGAGGCGCCGCCAGGGGGGCACAGCGCTGATCCAAGAGCTCCGCATGGACCTCCGAGAAATCATGTTTCTGCCGGTGTTTGTCCTCCGCGGGAGGAGTCGGCTACCCACAAGAGTGGCATGAGAGTAACCTCTGGTGCGCGGCCTCAGGGGGCCGCTGCGACGCCAAATGGGACCCCGTGGGCCCGCACCAGAGGTCCCTCCGCGCAGCCGACTGGAAAGAGGCCCGGGCGCTGCCTTCGACTTGCCGGGCAGCTCGACCCTCCTGTCGGCGCCCTCCTTCATGCCGCTGCCCAGCATCCTGCGGCGGGCGGCAGCCGCCGCCGGCCCGCGGCGCGTCGGCGGGCGGAGGAGGACACGGAGGACCATACGGTCGGGAACGTCGACTTAGCGCGTCGCGGCGGCGGCCCCGGCGACACGCCATGCCCTGCAAGCGGAGAACGTGTCGCTCCGCTCCGAGGGCCGGGAAGCCGGGACGAGCTCGGGACGTCGACGCGCGGGGATGGGGACGTGGATAGCGCGTCGCGCCGATGCACGGTGGGCCAAAACCAGCGGAGCGACACGCTGAGCCAAAGCTCCTGACCACATTTCCAAGGGGAGGAGGGGGAGGAGGGGGAGGAGGAGGAGGAGGAGGAGGAGGAGGAGGAGGAGGAGGAGGAGGAGGAGGAGGAGGACGAGGAGGACGAGGAGGAGGAGGAGGAGAAGGAGGAGGAGGGAGGAAGAGGAGGAGGAGGAGGATGAGGAGAAGAAGAAGGAGGAGGAGGAGGAGAAGGAGGAGGAGGAGGGGGGAAGGGGAGGAGGGAACGGGGTGAGCACGCAGACTGAAGGAGTCCGTCGCGCGAAACGCCAACGGCCACTTGGAGGCGGGCCAGGACCCCCCTCGGCCCGGGCCCAGCGCTCGGTCGGCGCCAACCCCGAAGGGCCCACCCAGGAAGGGACCACGGCGGGCAGGCGCGAGCGCCGTGGCGAGCTCACCAAGAGAGTGATGCTCAAGGACAAGTAGACTATGGCGGTGTGAACAGTGAGCAGCCACTGGGCCTCGGGGCCAGCGACCTGGAGCCTTCTGGGAGCAATCGACTCGTCACGGTGAGCGCCAAGCGGATGCCTGCGCGTCCCGTGTGAAGCCCCCCGCTGACTGCAGGGGGGGGGACACGGATCGAACAGGGAGGACCCTCAGCGAGGCTCGGGAACTTCTGCTCAGCGCGCCGCGCGGCCAATTCTGGCGCTCCCCGCCTCGGCGCGACACGCTACGTGACCACTTCCTGGTCCTCCAGCCTCAACGACCCGAGCTTGTCCCAGCCCCCCGCCACGCGCAGAGTGGAACGACACACGCGGAAGTCTCGAGCACGTGTTGCGGGTCAAAACTGGGGACACGAAGAGGTACCGATACCGCTACTCCCAGGCGCTGTACTGGGGTGCGTTCCGACCAGAGCTCGAGGCGAATCCAGCCGCAGCGACGCCGGCGTCCCACAAGTCCCCCCAAACAAAAACGAAAACGAGGGAAGGGCAGCGGCATCGGTACGTCTCCCACATCTGAACATCGGGCGTACCAGGGCAGCTAAGCCCCCTTGGCGGCGCGCAGAGGGGGGTAGGGGCAGGGGGGAAGGCTTCTTCTGGAAGCAGGCTGCTTCTTAGAATGCGCCTGCCTTGCATCTACAGAGAAGGCCCGCGCCGTCTAAGAAGCAGGGGTGCTTCTAAAAAGCCTTCCCCCCGCCCCCCTTACCCCCCTCTGTGCGTGGCCGGCTCCCCACGTCACGATCTGCTCACAGCGAGCACCCAAAGAGGCCTGGACCCCTTCCTCGGGGCGGGCTCCCAACCTGGCTCCCGTGCGCAGGGCGCGAGGCCACCCAAAGCCGACCACTGCCCTCCCAAACAACGCCCCCGGCTTACGTGGTTCAAGGAGCCCAAGGACACTCACAAATAAATACACACAAAGCCCAGCGTTCCCCATATTTCCCAGATGTTCTGGCCTTTCGTCTTCCCCCTCACTCCCCATACTCTCCCACATCTTCCATGGAGTCGACGATTCGTGGTGTCTGTGTGTGTTTTCCCCTCCTGAACGCTTCGCAGCGAGAGGAGGCCAGGGAACGCGCCGAAGGCGAAGGACTGACGTGGTTCCCCTAAGACTCTGGCCACTCCTCTTTGTCGACGCGGGCGCCCTCGCCCGGCTTCTCGGGCCCCAAGACCCTCACGGATCGACGCGGCTCGAAAAAGGGGCGCAGGAAGACGGGGTCTGCCAGGGCTCTGGCCGCATTGTTTGGCAGTGCTGCAATGCATTCCCCTCCGATCCGAAATCTCGACAAAACGGAAACCTCGTGAAAATGGCTCTGGTCGTGATTTTTCACGGTGTCTCCATTTTCCTCGAGACGTAGGATCTCCAGGGAAAGCAGCGCAGCATGGCCAAGACATGCGGCCAGAGACCCTGGTGGACCCCGTCTTCCTGCGCCGTTCTCCCAGCTGGATCGATCTGTAAGGGCATCTCGGGGCCCTGAAGAGACCGGGCGAAGACGCCCAGCTCGAAGAAGCGGAGGGTCGCCGGGAGCTCAGGGCCCCGGCGTCGGAGCTCAGAGGCCCGCGTGGCTGCCGAAAGCGCTCGGGGCGGGCGCGGGCCCTCCCCGGGGCAGTGGCCCGGGCGGCAGGCCACGTGAGGCGGGGGCGGAGTTCCTGGCGAAGACCGGGGAGGCCATGGCCAGGATGGCCGACGAGACCTCGCGTGCTCGGCGCCGTCGTCGTCTGCGTCACCGCCGTCGCCTACCCCGTCGCCGCCGTCGAGGCCGCCGCCTCGTCCTCGTCCTCGGCGTCGCCGTCGCCGTCTGCCTCGTCGCTCCGTCGTCGTCGTCGCCGTCGCCGTCCTCGCCGTCCTCGCCGCCCTCGTCGTTGTCCTCGTCGACGTCGACGAGCCGCCTCCTTCACGCGCCACGGAAAAAAAGTTCGACCGCCTCGAGGTTCGAACTCCAGGATGTCTCACGTGCTTCGCCCACTCTGCGCCTACCTTGGGGGCCCTCGCGGGCACGGTTGGGCGCAGCTCGAGAAGTGGGCTACAGTCAAAGCGTGCATTGAGGACGGGTGGAAAGGCCGCAAGACCATTGGAGGCCGACGTTGAGATTCTTTGGGGCGACGGGCGACCAGCGAACGCGGCCAAGGACGGGCGCAGAGGCAAGGACACCAGGGCACCCTACATGAAGGCGCGCGTCCTTGCTAGGCTCGTGTGTGTATTGTGTGTATTGTGTGTGTTTGTGTGCGTGCGTGTGCGTGTGCGTGTGTGTGTGTGTGTGTTGTGTGTTGCGTGTTGTGTGTTGTGTGTTGTGTGTGTGTTGTGTGTTATGTGCTGTGTGTTGTGTGTTGTGTGGTGTGTGTTGTGTTGTGTGTAAGTGTGTGTGTGTGTGTGCGGAAGTGTGAGTGTGGGTGTGTGTGTGTGTGTGCAAGTGTTGTGTGTGTATGTGTGTGTCCTTGCGTGTCTGTGTGTGTCTATGTGAATGCGTTAATGCGTGAATGCGTTAATGCGTGAATGCGTGAATGTGTGAATGTGTGAATGTGTGGGTGTGTGTGCGTGTGTGAATCTGTGAATGTGTGAATGTGTGAATGTGTGAGTGTGTGAATATGTGCGCGCGTGTGTGTTTGCGCGCTTTTTCCTCCGATGCCTCAGATCCTGTGGCCTGATACGGTGCCAATGCGGCGCATGCTCCAACGGCTGGCCCGATCCTGAATCCCGTGAAACTTGTATTCACCGCAGCAGGCTCAAAAAACCGCGCTAGAATCAAACACAAAGACAAGGAGTGAAACGGAAGTGATGAAGGGCCCCTGTAAACGCGATTGCACCGCACAGAGTGCACAGCAGAGACTGTCCCCATTTAGATTCTCCTTTCTACAAAGCATATGTTCTACCACCCTCACCCTCTCCCGGGGTTCAAGACCCCCTGGGCATCGATGTAAAACACCTAGGATCCTGACCCAATGTCCATCCCACCTGTGAACTCACGCTAACCCAGCCCAAAAGGTATCGACCCCCCCGCCATACTCTTCAAAAAAAGCACTGTGCGCGCGCACTCGTTTCTATCAACAATCATAAGGTTTCGCAAATCCCTTGCAAAAGAACGACGAAGTGCACACGCGCGCGTCGTCGCGCGGGCATGCCGAAGTCCTTCAAAAACCTTCGGTGTCGGAAAGTTTTCAAAATCGAGCTTCCTCAAATAAACACACAAAATCACAGGGCTTCGACCTACTGCTTGCTGAAAATCTTACGCGCGCGCTCTTGCTAAATCTTCAGGGGAAAAAAACAAACAACGTAGGTTTTCAACACTTTCAAAAAAGATACTACCAAAAGGGCTTCGCGCGCGCGAATGTCGAAACCGTTCGAACGCCCTTTTGCGCGCGCGCTGGGGTGGGGAAATCCGTGTCAAATAATATCATGCAAGCCACTCTCGCGCGTCTGCCGCGCGGCATTTCGAATTCCTTACAAATCCTTCATCACCGACGCGAAGACGCCGTCATCGTCGTTGGCGTGATCGGCATCGGCGCCGTCATCGCCACTATTATCATCATCGTGTCTACACTCGTCGCCACCAACATCGCCACTATCATCGCCATCGTGTCTACAAGCGTCGACGTTGCCATGAACCCGCGCCCGCCCAAGCCGCCGACTCGCACACAAGTGCCCGCTGGGATGTGCCGAACGCTCAGCACCACCGCGGCCTCGTCGGTCGCACCAGACGTCCTGGCCGCTGCGCGCGCGAATGCGCGGGCTGGCGCGGCCGCAGAGGTGCACCAGCCAGCGCCAAGCACTCATCCCAATCGCCGCCGCATGAGGTTTGCATACCAAGTTGCGGGTAGGTGCGTGGAATGTTTGCGCGAGCAGTGGAGTGGACAACTCACTGCGAACAGAGATTAATTGCACAGCATAGATCGCACCATATCGATTGCACAACATAGATCGCACAACATACATCACGATATAGATCGCACCACATGTATCGCACCGCACATCTTGTACCACATCGGTTGCGCCGCGCCGGTTGCACCACCTGGATAGCACCATGCATATTGCACAGTAAACATTGCACCGCATAGACTGCAACACATGGATGGCGCAACATTAATCGCACAACATATATTCTCTTTTTTAGAAACCGAATAGGATCTACCCCCCCGGGCGTTATCGGTTCACCTTTCGGGTATGTAAGTCACATGTGATTCTGACCACATGTCCATCCTAAGTATGAATCTACACTATCCCAGGGGGGCCGGTATCCCCCCCCCTGAGGCTCCCTCCCCAAAAAAAACACTATGCGGTGACATTTTTTGTTCTAACATCACACTTGTTCGCGAATCCCTTGCAAAACATATGACGAAGTGCACACGCACGCGCCGTCGCGCGCGCATGCCGAAATCCGTCAAAAACCTTCGGTGCCGGAAGGATTTCGCAATCGAGTTTCCAACAAACTGACAAAAACACAGGGTTTCGCAACACTGATTTGCTAAAAAAGCTTCCGCGCGAGCTCTTGCGAAATCTTAAGAGCACCATCGGTTTTTCAAGATTTTCACAACATGCTATTAAACGGGCTTCGCGCGCGCGCATGTCGAAATCAGTCGAACGCCCTTGCGCGTGTGCCGTCGCGAGAATCCTCTGCACAAAATGGGACGAAGTGCAGACGCGCGCGTCGTCGCGCGCGTATGCCGAAATCCTTCAAAACCCATCGGTTTCTTAAGGATTTCAAAATCGTGTCCAAAAAACCTACAAAAACACAAGGTTTCGCAACACGGATTTTCAACAAAAGCGTGCGCGCGCGCTCTTGCGTCGTCGTCGTCGTCGCCGTCCTCCCTCCTCCCGCGTCGTCGTCGTCGTCGCCTACGGCGTCCTCTGTCTTTCCTCGTGTTCGTCGTCGTCGACCTCTTTGGCGTCGTGGTCGTTTCCGTCGTCGTTGTCGCCGTGGTCGTCCTTCCTCCTCCTCCTCCCTCGTCGTCGTCGTCGTCGTCCGTCGTCGGCGTCTCGTCGTCGTCCCTCCTATTTCGTCGCCGTCGTCGTCGTTGTCGTCGTCGTCTTCCCTCCTCCCTCGTCGTTGTCGTCGTCGTCGGCGTCGCCGTCCTTCCTCCTTCTTCGTCGTTCGCGTCGTCGCCGTCCTCCCTCCTCCCTCGTCGTTGTCGTCGTGGTCGTCGTTGTCGCCGTCGTCGTCCTTCCTCCTCCCTCGTCGTCGTCTTCGTTGGCGTCGTCGTCGTCGTCTTCGTCGTCGTCGGCGTCGGCGTCATTGTCGTCGTCGAAGTCGTCGGAAACGTCGTCGGTGTCGTCGTAGTCGTTGTCGTCGGTGTCGCCGTAGTCGGTCTTAAGAGGTTTTGCAAACCAAGTTGCGGGTGGGTGGGTGGGTGGGATGGTTGCAAGAGCGTGGGATGTGTCACATCATGGGTAGAAGTCAATTGCAAACCATAGATTGCACAACGCAGATCCCACCACATCCATTGCACCACGTAGAATGCACCGCATACATTGCACCACATAGATCGTGTCACGGACATTGCTCCACATAGGTTGCTACAAACATACTAGTTGGAGCCACGCTCACCAACAACACAAACATACATATGCATGCATGCATTTACGCATACCGCATAGACCACCCTTCGGGTGATAAGGAGGTGAGGGGGGGAGGGACCAACGTCGCACTCGATTGATCTCACTATCGAACTCACTACCGATCTCACAATCGATCTCAATCGATAGATCTCACAATCGATCTGACTATCGATCTCACAATCAATCTCACAATCGATCCCACAATCGATCTCACATTCGGTCTCGCTATTGATCTCACAATCGATATCACAATCGATCTCGCATTCGATCTGACTATCGATCTCACTATCAAACTCACTATCGATCTCATTATCGATCTCACATTCGGTCTCACTATCGATCTCACTATCGATCTCACAAATCGATCTCACAATCGATCTCGCATTCGGTATCACTATCGATCTCACTATCGAACGCACTTTCTATATCATTATCGATCTCACATCCGGTCTCACTATCGATCTCACGATCGATATCACAACCGATCTCACAATCGATCTCACATTCGGTCTCATCATCGATCTCACTATCGAACTCACTATCGATCTCATTATCGATCTCAACCGATCGATCTCACAATCGATCTGACTATCGATCTCACAATCGATCTCACAATAGATCCCACAATCGATCTCACATTCGGTCTCACTAATTGTCTCACTATCGATACCACCATCGATATCACAAACGATCTCCCGTTCTGTCTCACAATCGACCTCACTACCGATACCACTATCGATCTCACTATCGATATCACAACCGATCTCACAATCGATCTGCCATTCGGTGTCACGTTCGATCTCACAACCGATATCACTATCGATCTCACTATCGATCTCACATTCGACCTCACTATCGATCTCACAATCGATCCGCATCACCATCATCAGCATCATCGGGACACCATCAACACCATCATCATCATCATCATCATCATCATCATCATCATCATCATCATCATCATCATCATCATCATCATCATCATCATCATCATCAGCACCATCATCATCATCATCAACATCATCATCATCGGGACACCGACGGGGCACCGACGGGACACAGGCGGGACACCGCGGGCCCCCGGCCGCCCGGAAGGGAGTCATTTGGTCCGGCCGCGCCTCAGCCACACGGGACACCAGCGGGACACCGGCGGGACACCGCGGGCCCCAGGCCGCCCGGAAGGGAGACATTTGGTCCGGCCGCGCCTCAGCCACAGGAGACTTTCTCTCGCCCGCCCACGCAGCTTCGCCTCGCCCGCACGCACGGCACGCACGAACACGAAACCGAAATCGATTTCCCGGTAAGGGGGCTCTCCGTTCCGCCTGGATCTCACCCCCTCACCTCCGATACACGTAACATGTGTATTGTGTAAGTATACATAAACAGACACATACATGCAGATATGCATACGTGCATACATACCTGCATACATGTCAAAACGTGTAGGTGTGTGTATATACGTGCATTGATGGTGTGATCTGTGTGGCGCAAGCTATGCGGTGCAAGCTATGCTGTGCCAGCCATGCGGCGCAAGCGCACGGGGCGCCCACGAGGCGCCCACCGGCGGGCAGGCGCGCCAACGGGGCGAGCCCTCGGGAAGCCCACCCAGCGCACGAGGCGCCCCCGAGGCGTCCACCATCAGGCACGGGCGCCAACGCGGCGAACCCTCGTGAAACCCACCCAGCGCACGAGGCGCCCCCGAGGCGTCCACCATCAGGCACGGGCGCCAACGCGGCGAATCCTCAGGAAGCCGACCCAACGCATGGGGCGCCCACGAGGCGGGCCCCAAGGTGGCGAAAGCCCTGGAAACCCGTGAACCATGCTCGAGAAAGCCCAGAAAAGAGCCCCGAAGTGCGAGCACCTTTTTCTACCAGCGAACGGGAGCCCAGTGGCAGAGTGCAAGGGGACGACACTACCCGACGACGAACACAACGGACGACAGACGAACGACAAGCGCGCGGGGCGCGGGAGGGGGAGGGCAGAGGAGGGGGAAGGGGAGGGCAGGCGGAGGGGCGCCCGCGCCCCGCAGCCCCGAAGTGCAAGCACTGCTTGTGGGAGCCCGTGGGACACGGCCCTCCTCGACTCTGCGCTCCACAAAGGTGCCCCGAGGGCTCTGCTCTGCGGGCCGCTCGGGACACGAGCAGCCATCGCGGGGCGCTCGTCGGCAGGCCACGTTCTCATCTGCCGTGCCTACTGCACCGCGCCCCCCCCTCCCCATCCTCGGATCACTCCTGGACGGCTCACGGAGGAGGAGGAGGAGGAGGAGGAGGAGGAGGAGGAGGAGGGCGGAGGAGGAGGAGGAGGAGGAGGAGGAGGAGGTGGGCGGAGGAGGAGGAGGAGGGCGGAGAGGCCCGGCGCGACCCGGGACCCACCGAGGCCGCGGACAGGGCAGACGCGCGGGGCCCTCAGACAAAGCCTCCTGCTCGAACGCTCCAGGCCTTCCTCGCCGACGACGACGACGACGACGACGACGACGACGACGACGGCGACGGCGACGACGACGGCGACGGCGACGACGACGGCGGCGGCGGCGGTGGCTGCGGCGGCGGCGGCAACGACTGCAGCTGCGACTCCACTCAGGGGAACGAAGAGTGACACAAACATAGGAACTCGGAGGTCCGCGCGGACCTCCGAGTTTCTATGCTTATGGCATGATTTGTGCCCCTATGCACTGCAGCGTCGCCATCGAAGGGGGCGGCGACTGCGAATGCACTGCGACGGCGTCGGCGGCGGCCACGGCCCTCTGGCGAACCCCAGCTCCAGAGAAGCGTCGCGCCTGGACCGTCGCACCGTCGATGACCACGTCGATGATGCCGAGGTCCACCGAGGCGGCCATGGGAGCGGGCCCTGCCGAGGGGACAGGAAGGGATCGAGGACTGAAGCTCGAAGAGTGAGAGCTGAGCTTTTGTTCACGTGGCGGATTTCGGAAGCCCTGAACCCAAAAACGTTGTCATCTCTTGGGGGCGCATGTTTCACTTCCGCCACCTTCCGCCGGCTGCCGCCGGCGGAGGCGGCCTCGTTTTACTTTCGCCGACCTTCCGCCGCCCTTCCGCCTCCTTCCGCCGTAGAAGAGATGACAACTCCTTTTATCCTCGACGGCAAGGCCATTTTGGAACGCCCCACGTGCTGCAGCATTTCTGTGGGGAGATGAAAAACAACCAAGTAGGCGCTGGGCTCGTCCCAGACAGGCGACGCCCTGAATTTTTCAATACGGGGTCCCTGAAGTCCCGACCATTTTTTTTCCTGGACCATCACTTTTCCCGGGGACAATTTTTCATCCTGAACCGCTTTTTGACTGCCCCGAGGCCCGGCGATTGCCCCCCGAGGCCGAAAGTGGCCGAGTACCTCCCGTCCCGATGTTGATCATGTCTGGGTGAGGGAGTTGCGTGAGTACCACCAGAGCCGCCCGTGGCCATAGTGAGTCAGGTCAGCCTGACTGGGACTCGTCCAGCGGAAACGATGACAGTATCTATTTTGCTTGAATTAGGGCGGGCATGTCCCCCTTACAGGCGAATCTTAAACGAATAATTCCAAATCAACCCAAAACAAATACTCAAAGATGGTCAACAAATACTCGAAATATCGTCCCCTGACTATTTGTAACTGGTTTGAACATTCTTCCTGTAGATGGACAGGCCCGACCTAACCATACGAAACCCCCCTTCGGCGCGTGGCAGAAGCTTGATTTGCGGCAGTGCGTTGCACCCCTGGGCTCCGTGGGGTGATGCGTACCACGGCCCTGGCCCTGCCCGACGGCGGCACCTCCTCCTCATCCTCCTCCTCCTCCTCCGCCTCCGCCTCCGCCTCCTCCTCCTCCTCTTCCTCCAAGCCTGCCGAGCTCCTGGCCGGAGCACGCCCCTGGGCAGGCCCGGGTGGCCGATGCTCAGGGGGTTACATGTGGTAGGCCCTCGGCGGCGAAGACGAGCAGCAGCGTCCCAGGAGAGGAGGAGAAGGAGGAGGAGGAGGAGGCGGAGGAGGAGGAGGATGAGGAGTTGGAGGAGGCGGAGGAGGAGGAGGAGGAGGGAAAGGAGGAGGAGGAGGAGGGGGAGGAGGAGGAGGAGGAGGGGGAGGAGGAGGAGGAGGAGGAGGAGGAGGAGGAGGAGGAGGAGGAGGAGGAGGAGGACGAGGAGGAGGAGGGCGGAGGAGGAGGAGGAGGAGGAGGAAGAAGAGGAGGAGGAGGGGGGGGAGGAGGAGCAAGGCGTGCTCTTCCCCACCAGGGCCCAGGCCTCTGACTCTGTAGCTGTTTTTGGTGCGGGCGGTGGTTCCTCTGCCTGGGGCCCCGAAGAAGGAAGGCGTGCTTCGGCCCCAGGCAAGATCTGCCAGCATTGAATCGGGGGATCGGTTCAAATCGGAAGTTGCGTCGGATCGGGCTGCATCGGCACGGAGTCGAAATCGAATCGGATCGGACGCGCCAGGATGCACAACTACGTCTCGCAAGCATCGGGCGGCAACGGATCGTCGGAGTATCGGAATCGAATCGGATCTGGACGGCCGCCCGCAATTGGCATCGAATCAGCTCGATCGGATCCAAATGGACCCCGAGGGGTCGAGAGCTCCTGGGACCGCGCACTTTAGGAAGCCAGCCACCCCTGGAACCGCAGACGCACCAGCTGGCCGGTGACAAAGACGAGGACTGGCCTCAAGATCGGCTCGCGCGCCTGGCCTGCCCGGCCACCGTGCGCAGCTGGCCAAGCTCGAAGAACGACCACTCCGAGGCCTTGAAAAATTAATGGCGGAATCTGCGCCTCAAAGTCGGCCTCTTGGGGGGGGGGGGGGCCTTTCGGGCCCCAGGGCCGTCACCAGAATAGTCGGGGACGAACAACTGGACCACGGAGAAGGGGTCGAGGGTACTGGAGATCCCTTGCTCAAAAGGCACGCTCATGCCGAAGAAGACACGAAGCAGCGTTCCAAAAGGGCCTGGCAGTCCACCTCCTGGCCCTTACCACTACGACGAACAGTAATCATATCGCGAACAGTATTACTACAAATGTGGATACGACCCGTATTACTACGAATATGTGTTCTTCTTTTAGTACGACTACACCTAAGATTACGACTCCGACTACGACAACGACGACGACGACTACGACTACGACGACGACGACGCCGCCAACTGCAAATGCTGCTACTACTACTGCTACTACTACTACTACTACTACTACTACTTCTACTACTACTGCTGCTACTACTACTGCTACTACTGCAACAACTACTACTACTACTACTACTACTACTACTACTACTACTACTACTACTACTACTACTACTACTACTACTACTACTACTACTACTATTACTACAACTACTACTACTACTACTACTACTACTGCTACTACTACTACTACAACTACCACTACTACTACTACTACTACGACGACGACAACTACGACGACGACGACCACTACTACTACTACTACTACTACTACTACTACTACTACTACTACTACTACGACGACGACGACGACGACGACGACGACGACGACGACGACTGCTACCCCTAGGACACCTGCTACTACTACTACTACTACTACTACTACTACTACTACTACTGCTGCTACGAGAAAAAATCAAAACAAAAAAAACTACTACTACTACTACTACTACTACTACTCCTACTACTAC